TTGTAAAAGGATTCAAAACTTTAATGCCAACAGGGATTTACACATAAATATTATGACTAGAAAAAAAAGCCAGGAAATAATAATAAACATACATTCTGCAGGAATATTGTTTACGAAAGGGAAAAATCAACAGCAATAACGGGAAAAATAAATATTGGGATTAAAAATCTATAGTAGTTTTTGTGAAATTTTAAACATAGAAACCTGTTTTTAATGTTTAATGTAGAAACAAATGATTTATCTATCAGGCTATACACTAGTCTTTATACTAGACTATAGATTAGAATATAGACTGGACTATAGACTAGACTATAGTCTAGTATTTAATCCAGACTAGGCATTAGACAAGACTATAGACTAGACTATAGACAAGACTATAGACTAGACTATAGACTAGACTATAGACTAGACTATAGACTAGACTATAGACTAGACTATAGACTAGACTATAGACTAGACTATAGACTAGACTATAGACTAGACTATAGACTAGACTATAGACTAGACTATAGACTAGACTATAGACTAGACTATAGACTAGACTATAGACTAGACTATAGACTAGACTATAGACTAGACTATAGACTAGACTATAGACTAGACTATAGACTAGACTATAGACTAGACTATAGACTAGACTATAGACTAGACTATAGACTAGACTATAGACTAGACTATAGACTAGACTATAGACTAGACTATAGACTAGACTATAGACTAGACTATAGACTAGACTATAGACTAGACTATAGACTAGACTATAGACTAGACTATAGACTAGACTATAGACTAGACTATAGACTAGACTATAGACTAGACTATAGACTAGACTATAGACTAGACTATAGACTAGACTATAGACTAGACTATAGACTAGACTAGACTATAGACTAGACTATAGACTAGACTATAGACTAGACTATAACTAGACTATAGACTAACTTAGACTAGACTATAGACTAGACGTATAGACTATACTATAGACTAGACTATAGACTAGACTATAGACTAGACTATAGACTAGACTATAGACTAGACTAAGACTAGACTATAGACTGAACTATAGACTAGACTATAGACTAGACTATAGACTAGCTATAGACCTAGACTATAGACTAGACTATAGACTAGACTATAGACTAGACTATAGACTAACTATAGACTAGACTATAGACTAGACTATAGACTAGACTATACTAGACTAGCTAGACTATAGACTAGACTATAGACTAGACTATAGACTAGACTATAGACTAGACTATAGACTAGACATAGACTAGACTATAGATAGACTATAGACTAGACTAATAGACTAGACTATAGACTAGACTATAGACTAGACTATAGACTAGACTATAGACTAGACTATAGACTAGACTATAGACTAGACTAGAACGACTATAGACTAGACTATAGACTAGACTATAGACTAGACTATAGACTAGACTATAGACTAGACTATAGACTAGACTATAGACTAGACTATAGACTAGACTATAGACTAGACTATAGACTAGACTATAGACTAGACTATAGACTAGACTATAGACTAGACTATAGACTAGACTATAGACTAGACTATAGACTAGACTATAGACTAGACTATAGACTAGACTATAGACTAGACTATAGACTAGACTATAGACTAGACTATAGACTAGACTATAGACTAGACTATAGACTAGACTATAGACTAGACTATAGACTAGACTATAGACTAGACTATAGACTAGACTATAGACTAGACTATAGACTAGACTATAGACTAGACTATAGACTAGACTATAGACTAGACTATAGACTAGACTATAGACTAGACTATAGACTAGACTATAGACTAGACTATAGACTAGACTATAGACTAGACTATAGACTAGACTATAGACTAGACTATAGACTAGACTATAGACTAGACTATAGACTAGACTATAGACTAGACTATAGACTAGACTATAGACTAGACTATAGACTAGACTATAGACTAGACTATAGACTAGACTATAGACTAGACTATAGACTAGACTATAGACTAGACTATAGACTAGACTATAGACTAGACTATAGACTAGACTATAGACTAGACTATAGACTAGACTATAGACTAGACTATAGACTAGACTATAGACTAGACTATAGACTAGACTATAGACTAGACTATAGACTACTATAGACTAGACTATAGACTAGACTATAGACTAGACTATAGACTAGACTATAGACTAGACTATAGACTAGACTATAGACTAGACTATAGACTAGACTATAGACTAGACTATAGACTAGACTATAGACTAGACTATAGACTAGACTATAGACTAGACTATAGACTAGACTATAGACTAGACTATAGACTAGACTATAGACTAGACTATAGACTAGACTATAGACTAGACTATAGACTAGACTATAGACTAGACTATAGACTAGACTATAGACTAGACTATAGACTAGACTATAGACTAGACTATAGACTAGACTATAGACTAGACTATAGACTAGACTATAGACTAGACTATAGACTAGACTATAGACTAGACTATAGACTAGACTATAGACTAGACTATAGACTAGACTATAGACTAGACTATAGACTAGACTATAGACCAGACTATAGACCAGACTATAGACTAGACTATAGACTAGACTATAGACTAGACTATAGACCAGACTATAGACCAGACTATAGACTAGACTATAGACTAGACTATAGACTAGACTATAGACTAGACTATAGACTAGACTATAGACTAGACTATAGACTAGACTATAGACTAGACTATAGACTAGACTATAGACTAGACTATAGACTAGACTATAGACTAGACTATAGACTAGACTATAGACTAGACTATAGACTAGACTATAGACTAGACTATAGACTAGACTATAGACTAGACTATAGACTAGACTATAGACTAGACTATAGACTAGACTATAGACTAGACTATAGACTAGACTATAGACTAGACTATAGACTAGACTATAGACTAGACTATAGACTATAGACTATAGACTAGATAAGACTAGACTATAGACTAGACTATAGACTAGACTATAGACTAGACTATAGACTAGACTATAGACTAGACTATAGACTAGACTATAGACTATATAGAGACTATAGACTAGACTATAGACTAGACTATAGACTAGACTATAGACTAGACTATAGACTAGACTATAGACTAGACTATAGACTAGACTATAGACTAGACTATAGACTAGACTATAGACTAGACTATAGACTAGACTATAGACTAGACTATAGACTAGACTATAGACTAGACTATAGACTAGACTATAGACTAGACTATAGACTAGACTATAGACTAGACTATAGACTAGACTACACTATAATCATACGTCCTGTTGTCCTTATTATACTTAATTTTTATTAAAATGTACTAACCATTAATTATGTTCATTTAAGTTTCTAGTCCAATATTATTAATATGGATTTTATAGATGGAATAAGTAAACTATACATGACAGTTTAGCCACAACATATGCTCACTCATACAGTTATTTCTCAATATAAGTGCATAGTAAAGCCCAAATGATGAAAAGCGAAAGAATTCAAAAATTTTAGATTCACAATAGTATCTTGTTATACAGAGCCCTCCTAATTTATATACAAATTTAGTTATGGTGTACATCTACTTTGACATGTATCTGTGGTTTTTTTGGTCTGAAGACTCAAGTCAAGTCTTTTTTCTGCAACTTCCTACAGCCTGTGCTGCTAAGCTAGCGTGTGTGGTTTTCTATCTTTTACATTCTACTCTAACGTACAATGTTCGACTTTACTTTATTTCCTGGCAAATTAGTATATTACTTGTTTCATCCTCAGCTACTGGAGCGGTATGTCAAAGTAAAAGGAAGCTGATTTAAATCAAAAACTTAGAAATTTGATAAATAATAATTTGTATTCATTATAAGTATATGAACAAATTTGACATGTATGATTACAAGTCTGGCAAAATTCTCATAAGTTCTTTAGGATGTTTTCGGGGTGATGATGAATTTGAAGTTGAGATTGATGTATCTGAAGATGTTTTCTTAATTAAGATTTAGTTTTGAGTGATGTTTTGTATGTGAAAATATATAAATAGTTTTGCTTTAACTATACTTAATAATATTAAATATTTATTAAAGAATTATCTCAGAGTTATGGCACTTAAGAGCAAATAAGTAATTTTGGTAGTTTAATTACAGCAATATTTGCTAGTTAGCAGAAATTTATTTATTTGTATAGATAAATATTAATAGCTTTATACATAAAGCTAGAAATTTATTATGCTTTTTGTATGTTAGAAAAAGGTTTTTAAAAATATATTTTTAAATAATTTTATAAATAAATGTAAATGGAAAATCTGTTAAGCCTCTTAAAAATGTGACAATTATGAGAAAAAACTGTATACATATAGGGAAAACAGTCGGGTTGACAATAATTTGAAATATTTATTTGACATCTTTTGTTTTTTATAAGAAAAGTTTTACGGACCTAATGTAAAATCCATTTAAAATTCAAACAACTTCAATCTCTTCTCGTTTTTAAAAATCAATTTAACTTTAAACAAAAGCTTTTAGAAAATCCTTTATATCCACTGGCTTTTTTGTTTTGTTCCACACTGTGTCGTTTGTGCAAATGGTATTTAGAACAAAAAATGTAAATCTACCAACTAATTGCCTGTGAAATACTCTAAACAATACAACAGCAGATTGTGTATACGACGATTGAATATGAAGCGTCGTTGCAAGTGTAGTGCGGCACATAAAAACTAAATATAGAAAAATTAAATCTCTATCGAACAAAAGAAAATACTAAAACTTTATACAAGTTAAAATGAGAAAATGGTTTTAACTTGTAATGAAAAATAAAGCTCTGTCTTTTAACTAGATTTTTTCCAATAGAATACCAGCAAAACAATAGCATTTTAAATTGCATTTCTTTTTCCACAAGCATTTCATACCATTTTCTCATCTTCTCTTTATTCTTTTAGATAAATTGTAAAAATTGTAAATATGATGCCATAATTGGAGAATCGAATACAAACCATGGTTATGACTATAAACTGTGTAATGATGCCACAACAGCGACAACATCATCGACGTCAGCTTCATCGGGGCCAGCAACAACAACGACAGCCATGACAACAATGAAACTTGGTCATAAAGAAGGTAAGTGTGAAACAGATATTAAATGTTGTGCAAAAAAATTGGAATTTACTAACTATATTAATTTTAACCCTTTTAGACAAGGGTTGTTTTTTTTTCTTTAATGGGTCAAAGTATTTGAGGTAATAAAGCAAAATAGGAAAGGATTAAGAAGGGATCAGTAGAAATAGAACGTAAATATGTGGAAAACAAAAGGATTTGTGTAGCATTATGTATAGTCTACAGTCTAGTCTACAGTCTAGTCTATAGTCTAGTCTATAGTCTAGTCTAGTCTAGTCTATAGTCTAGTCTATAGTCTAGTCTATAGTCTAGTCTATAGTCTAGTCTATAGTCTAGTCTATAGTCTAGTCTATAGTCTAGTCTATAGTCTAGTCTATAGTCTAGTCTATAGTCTAGTCTATAGTCTAGTCTATAGTCTAGTCTATAGTCTAGTTTATATAGTCTAGTCTATAGTCTAGTCTATAGTCTAGTCTATAGTCTAGTCTATAGTCTAGTCTATAGTCTAGTCTATAGTCTAGTCTATAGTCTAGTCTATAGTCTAGTCTATAGTCTAGTCTATAGTCTAGTCAATAGTCTAGTCTATAGTCTAGTCAATAGTCTAGTCTAGTCTATAGTCTAGTCTATAGTCTAGTCTATAGTCTAGTCTAGTCTATAGTCTAGTCTATAGTCTAGTCTAGTCTATAGTCTAGTCTATAGTCTAGTCTATAGTCTAGTCTATAGTCTAGTCTATAGTCTAGTCTATAGTCTAGTCTATAGTCTAGTCTATAGTCTAGTCTATAGTCTAGTCTATAGTCTAGTCTATAGTCTAGTCTATAGTCTATGTCTAGTCATAGTCTAGTCTATAGTCTAGTCTATAGTCTAGTCTATAGTCTAGTCTATAGTCTAGTCTATAGTCTAGTCTATAGTCTAGTCTATAGTCTAGTCTATAGTCTAGTCTATAGTCTAGTCTATAGTCTAGTCTATTAGTCTAGTCTATAGTCTAGTCTATAGTCTAGTCTATAGTCCTAGTCTATAGTCTAGTCTATAGTCTAGTCTATAGTCTAGTCCTATAGTCTAGTCTATAGTCTAGTCTATAGTCTAGTCTATAGTCTAGTCTATAGTCTAGTCTATAGTCTAGTCTATAGTCTAGTCTATAGTCTAGTCCTATAGTCTAGTCTATAGTCTAGTCTATAGTCTAGTCTATAGTCTAGTCTATAGTCTAGTCTATAGTCTAGTCTATAGTCTAGTCTATAGTCTAGTCTATAGTCTAGTCTATAGTCTAGTCTATAGTCTAGTCTATAGTCTAGTCTATAGTCTAGTCTATAGTCTAGTCTATAGTCTAGTCTATAGTCTAGTCTATAGTCTAGTCTATAGTCTAGTCTATAGTCTAGTCAATAGTCAAGTTATAGACTAGTCTATAGTCTAGTCTATAGTCTAGTCTATAGTCTAGTCTAGTCTATAGGCTAGTCTATAGTCTAGTCTATAGTCTAGTCTATAATCTAGTCTATAGTCTAGTCTATAGTCTAGTCTATAGTCTAGTCTATAGTCTAGTCTTTAGTCTAGTCTATAGTGTAGTCTATGGTCTAGTCTATGGTATAATCTTCAATGGGTTAATTTTCATTACATTTTTGTTAAATGCATACAATTTTTAATTGCCATGTTAGTTAAGATCCTTGACTCTTTCACTCTTTGTGTCATTGCAGTTTGATTGTTTCCGTTATTTAAATAAATAGTTTTTGTCCTCCACACTGGACCACTATAAATACAAAACAAAAATTAATTGAATAGGAAGATTTTCATTTCAATCCTCCAGTAACAATAAAAATCAATTTATAATTTATTTAATTTCAATATGTTTATGCCTTAAACGAGTTGTTTTTTATTTGTATTTTTCACACAACAGATTGCTGTCAGCTTTTGCAAAATTCTCCTGGAAAATTGACTCAACATTTGTCCTCTTGCATGCAGTTAAAATTGTCGCCTACAATGACGGTCAGTGGTGGTAGCAACACGAATACAACACCAATACAGCCACAGCAACAATACTATCAGCAAAGACCAGATGTCATGCTAATGACAACCGGCCACAAATTGTCTTCACAACAGCCAGCAACAATGGCTACAGCCTGTCGCATGGTCTTGCCCCCCTCAATACCACCCTCGCAAGCACAACGTTTCTATACAAATACAACGCCTGCCATGGCAACATATCATATTGTTTCCTCAGCCTCGGCCAATTCATCACCCACCCATCATCAATCTATACGACATTATATAGTGCCGCAATTGCCACCACCTCCACCAACGTCTTCAACTTCCGCCACTGGTACCCAACACTTTATGGCTGTGCCCTCAAGTATGCTTCGTTTTCATCAAACAACACCACAGACATCGATACAACAGCAGCAGCAACAACAACAGCAGTGTGCGGGTAATGTAACATCAAATATTAATATAAATCCATTGGCATTACCCGTATCAGGTTCAGCTACTGTTTATTTTCCAATTGTTACACCAGCTGCTGTCACCCAAAATACAACACTAAGCGGTAGTAGTGGCCCCAGTTCCCAGCCTCTTGTTAAATATCACACCATACAAATGCCTCACAAGAGACAACAGGGTTTAACGTTGTTGCAACAAACCGATTTACACGATAATCAAGTCATAAATACAGTTGAAGATATTGACTGTACTTTATTTCCACCACCGCCACCTCCCGCCTATCAGACTGCAACGGTACATGGTAAGTTAAGGGTCTTTTAAGAACTAATCACGTTCATTTGATTTTTTTTTCTTTTTTGTTTCTGGTGTGTTTCGCAACTAAAGCCAATTCAACTTGTCAGTAGCATTTTTTCTCCAAACTTTTTAAAACATTTGTTGAGTATTATTCTCATATATAACTTTCGGTTTGTTGTTTAGGGAAAAGTGAAACCAAATGGAAAATTTTGAGTGTTGTGCATATGAAATTAAAAGTGCATTTGATAGGGTTTCAAAGGCGTATGAGCAATATATAATTTTTGTACCATAACAATAAGTATACGTAGGGTGTTTCAAAATGTTTATAAAGGCAATATAAATTACATGAACTGTACATGGACTGAAGTAGAACTGAACTAAAACTGGACTAAAACTGAAGAAGCACGGAACAAGAACAGAGCTATATAAAGAATCCTAAAATATAAACATTATTTCTTTTCATAAAAGTTGATTTAAATAAAATGAAAAACTAAATCCAATATTAATTGTCGCCGAGGGAAAAGATTTTAGCCAAAGAGTGAAAAAATATTCATTATTTTTCTAACTGCAGTTACCACAGTTTGGCGCCACAATTTTGTTAAAAGTTTTATGTTTAAATATCATCAACAACAACAATATCCAATACAACTTGCAACAATTTTGTTGCCCCTAGTTGAAAGCGGAAGAAAAAACTTAAAAAAACAACAACAGCATTAAATGTAATTAAAACAAACGTTCAAAGTTCACAAAATCATTACATTATAGAGAGTGACAGAGAGCTACAGGGAAAGACCGGAAGTGTAGAGTTAAGAAAAAATAACCGCAGGTTTTTAGCAAAAAAAGCATCAAATCTGTGCATGTACAATACAAAAACAACAACTTGCAACAAAATCAAATGACATTTAACGTTCTAGCCATTTTTCGTGTTAGTTTTTATAAAATTTTTTGCTTGATATTTTGCAACTCCACTGACTAAAGGATGTTGTTGAATAAAACAAAACAAAAAAACCCATGGAACGTCAAACTAGAAAAACTAAATTAAAATTATACTCATCACAAATTAAACTATCCATAGATGGCAGAACTAGAATGACAAAAACGTTTAAAGGAAGAGTTTAAGGCAGAGTTGCAAAGCAATACACACGAGTGGCTTTGGAGTGGCTAAGAAGTGTTTAACGACTTTAAACTGTGTTAGTGATGATGCTGACGTGACCAAGTTTGTAAATGTTAGAAAACAAAATAAACAACGAAAAAACTTCCGCCAAAATAAATACTATAGTTCAGGCCAATAGAAATATTACTTAGTTGGGAAAAAAGGAAAGAGGAAATACATAATAAATCCTAACTTTAAATGTGTTTATACAAAAATTTTATTGCAAATACTACTTTTGAAATGGTGCCGCTTTAAATTTATTATTATACTACCCAGCTGTGTAAATTGCTCAGACATCCTCAATTCTTTTTATCAATAACATTTCTTTTTTTTGTTCTTATTACTCTTAAGATTGATAATCAATCACAACATTTAAGTTTCACTTATAACTTGTGCACTTAAAATCAGTTTCTTTCACTTCTGCTGCTGTTCAAGAGCCTTAAAGCAAACGGACTTAACAGATATGAAAAGTACGTGCTTGATTAATAAAATTGGCTCATCTTTTTTTCCAAACCACAAAATGTCGTTTTTTTGTTTTTCCCGCTTTTCTTTTGGTACATGAAGTTGTGCATTAAATTGTGAAAATTAAGTGGGTTCTTAGAGACATTCGTTAAAAGATTTTGAAATCAATTGCAAAAGTTAAGAATTTGGGGTGACCAAGTTCTAGTTCAGTTCTAGTTCAGTTCTAGTTCAGTTCTAGTTCAGTTTTATTAACTATACAAACGCTAACCCCTTACGTACTGTGCGTATGAGTATTATTTAATTTAAAATTGTGAATACGTATACGTAGTGTGTTACACACTGATAAAAGTTGGCCACCTTAAATGTCTTTTCCAATATTCTTACATCTGTGACACATTTTCTTTATTGATTATAATGATGATGACAACATTGACAAGAGTATCTTGTGTGTAATGTCGTATGTGTGTGTGTGGAAAAAGTGTTTAAAAGAATAAAATTTGTATAAAACGAAATGATTGGAAAAGTTTTCTGATATTGTTGGCTTTAATGAAATATTTTTTTTATAATAACCGAAATACAAAAAGCATAAAATCTGTTAAGCCATTATATTTACAAAAAAGAAAAATAAATAACGCTTTTCAGCTTTACTGTTAATTTATTAACGAACAAATGATTGATGGTTATTTGTAAAGAAACATGAACATGAAAATATTAAGAAATAATTTGGATTTTTCTTTATATTCTATACTTACAGGTATTAGAAGGGCGAAATTCTTAACAAAACCTTTACCACAAGAAATCAATACATTATTGCATGAAAGTGATATTTCGTGCCGGCATGATTTATCACAAAACTTGCCAACATTTAACAGTAGCAGCAGCAGTAATAGCAACAATTTAGTAAATGAACAACAGCAGCAGCAGTTACACAATACATTAATAGAACCAACAACAACTGCGACAACAACATCAGTCATGCTTTCAAGCGAAACGGGAATAGAAACGGAATCCTCTATGCCAACAACAACAACAGCTGGTAATAATTTTTATGGCAGCAGCAATACATCGACCACTACTGCCTCAACATCACCAGCATCGACGGCAACATTAACAAATAATACAAATTCCAATAGTAATACAACAACTATTTATGAAAATCATGAATCAACAACACATCACAATACACAACAGCAACATGGCCAAATGGGTTTAGGTATAATGGCAGCAGGAGGTGTTAGCACAGCAGGTGGAGCAACAGCAGCGGTAGATATAATGGAAGATGAGGAGGAACAAGAACAACAACGTCTGGGGTAAGTCTTAAAGCGTAAAAAGAGTACAAACATAAGGCTTAAGTAAAAAAGGTATAGAATCGTTGTTCTTAAAATAAATTGCTTTAAATGACCACACTGCTAGAAAACAATGGCCAAGAGTCTGGTCATGTTGCAAATAAGAAGAAAAAATAAAACACAACCATTGAAAGTTCATTTGGGCAACAAATTGAAACTTCTGTCCATTTTTAGTGTTGCAAACCGGTAAGACCTTTAGGTGTTTCTCTTTTTTGCCAACTAAATCTAACATTTTAGCTTCAACACCTACTACATCTGTAGTTAAGAGTGTATGTTATGTCGTGTTTCTGTGTTTTTCTTTTTTGTGGAAATTGTCTGTCTGTTTAACAAGTTGTAGGTGCTTGATTTGTTGCAGATACTCCATCGGTATGTTTAGACATGCTTGATTTATTGTGTTGTCACATGAGTTAAAAGGTTTAATAGAGTTTAGAGAGGAGGTAGAAAAAAATAAATATAAGGAAAGGAAAGAACAGGACAGGACTGCGAAGCGTCTATAGTGTCAAGTAAACAAATGTAAAGGAACTTTCATTCAATTTATTAACTTAGAGAGAATACAGCCATATTCTAAACTTTATGATTATAAATAACGAAATTATTTGTTATCAAAAATATTCATATTAAAGAAATCCGTAGAAATAAACCTCTCGGTAACAGTGGCAAACAAAATTTTAGTATTGGCTCCAAAATTAATTTTCTTCTTAAGTAATTGTCTTAAAAATTAAAGTCCAAATGCATGAAAATACAAACATTTTAAATTGTCCTCTTCTTATCTGGTTTCACACTTTAACAAACAATCTGGCAACTCTACCAAACTAATTTTTAGAAACTACAATTTATATTCTACACATTCTTATAAATTTTATCGATTTATATTCTGTAGTTTTCGAGATATAACGTTTTGAAGAATTGCCGTTTGCTTAAAAACCCTGTATCCAAAAGATGGCGCTGTTAGTATGTCATAACAGGGTTGCCTATATCCTATAATTTGGAAAATTATAGGATTTGTTTAAATAGTTATAACTTGGAAAGTACTTACGCGTTTTTATAAATGAGGTGTCCATCGTTAGCTGGCAAATTAAGCTTTTGGTTTTAGGGAAAAATTATTTAACCAGTGTTGCCATACTTTTACAATATTGTATAGTAGAAACTTTTCTTTAAAATGGAGTGAAGCGATTTTTATTAGATTTTTTTATCGATTCAAAGAGCCAGAGTTACCAGATTAATTAAAGGATTAATTTAAATAGCTATAACTTTGAAAATACTTAAGCGATAAGAATGTATGAGGTGTCAGTTATTAGCTGATAAATTAAGCTTTTGGTTTTAGGGAAAAAATTGTTAACCAGTGTTGCCATACTTTTACAATGTTTTAAACTATTATTTAAGAAGATATGTTGTAGAATTGACAATTTATTGCGCCAGGATTGACAGATTGATTTAGAAGTGTAAAATTTAGATCTGTGAAAAAATGCAATTTCTAGTGAAAGAGGGAATAACCCAACATGTAGTGAAACGATTTTGATTTGATTTTCTACAGGTTTAAAGAGGATATGTTAAAGAATTTAAAATTTATTATGCCAGAGTTACCAGATTGATTTATAAGTGTAAAATCTAGATTTTAATTAATAGATCAAAAACGTTTACATTAGTCTTAATAAAAATATTTATTCTTTGACAAATTGTGTTTCAATCTTTTGCATCTGTATACAGCCTGCATAACACAATTAATTCACTGCCAAAGTCATACATCTCGCCCGCTTTTTAAAATTTATCAAAACCTTATTTTACTTCAGCATATTGTCTCATAAATTACAAACATGATTTAATCATTCTATTGACAATATTCTTTTGTGCACTTTTTTTCTCCTTAAAGAATCTCGCTTACCGCATATATTTTTCTTCGTAATATGTATACAATATAAGATTGAAGCGAAATGAAGTGATAAATTTTTTACAACATCCTTCATGTTGATTTTTTCATCTGTAATAAACAAACCCATACACAGCTAAAGTATTGCCTTACAATGCAATGTTGCCACACATTATTATCTTTGTGTTAATGTACAAAGAAACCAATACTTTCACACGTTATTTTTCTCATATTAATACTCGATGATAAGAGGTTTTTTTTTTGCTCATACTCATTCACTCACTCTTTGGCAGCCTTTTTGTATTATTTTCAATCACCATTTATTACTGCCACATGTATAATATCATGGCAAGAATGGGTGTGAAAAAGTGTGTGTATATGTGTGTATATTGTATGTTGTTTAAGTGTTGATAATTAATTGTAACTTGAGCTTGAATCAGGTCAATTAATTTTATTTTTTCAACAGACATATACAATGTAATTTCTTTTATTTCTTCTTTTTTGTATTATATTTTACCTCATTTTCAATAATGCTTGGTATTGTTGTTGTTGTGTTTTTTTTTTTTTTTTTTTTTTTTTTGAAAATTTAACTGCTGATACAGCAAAATTTTTAACACATTTTCTTGTTTATATGTTCTAAACAAAATACTTTTAATGCTCAAGAAAAGAGAAATAAATAAGGAAATGAAAAGAAAAATAGAACGGAAATGGAAACATATATGCACTAGACATTATAATAAAAGAAAATAAATTTAGAATTATAGAGCCATTTTAACCAGAGTTTTTAATTTATGGTTAAAGAAAACCAAGAAAAGAAATTAATTAAATAAAACATTTTTCTTAATTTTCTTTTTATTTGCAGTAATTGTCCTCATGGCACACCATCCCGAGTGCCACTACTAACAAATGCTACTTTAAGCACAGAAGATAAGTCTCAAGCCCGCAGTTTCTTTAATGCCACAGCCGCCTCTTTTCATCGCCACACCTTAAATACCTTTCAACGTTCCAGCAATACCTTAAATCCACAACGCAAATCGGTGATAATCAATCGCAAAGGTGAATGTAATCTGCACATACCCAAGCGTCGTAATTCCTCTGGGGCCACTTTGTGTTATGGTGACCAATATGATGATACCTCCGATGATGATTGCGGTGGCCTAGAGGGCACTAATATCTATAAACTTAAACATCTACATCCCCAACAACCACAGACTGATAAACATCTTATGGGCCAAGATGATTATTGTGATAATCATTCGTTGGTTTCGCTTAGCGAGTCAAGCGCACAAATACCTCAAGTGCCCATTATAGTGGTGCTATTCATTTTAGTATTCTATGTCTGTCTGGGCACGGTTATATTTGCTTTGTGGGAAAATTGGTCTTTAATCGATGGTGCTTATTTTTGTTTTGTCACTCTAACCACCATAGGTTATGGTGACTTTGTGCCCTTGAAAACATTTCAGGGGCCGGAGATACAACTATTTGCCTGCTGTGCTTATTTGCTGTTGGGCCTGGTATTGGTGGCCATGTCGTTTAGTATTTTGGAAACCCAATTGATATGGAAATGTAAACGTTTAGCGGTTAGACTGAAATTAGCCAAAGAATGATGTTGTAAAACTAATACTACTATAAGTTTTGTATAAAAAAAAATTAAAAACTTAAATAAGTAAAATTTAAATAAAGTTTTAGTTAAAGTCCTTTTTAAACTAATTTATACAACACATAGTTTTAACCTTGTTTTTTTTAACACTTATTACCAATTAGCAATACATTATTAAAATCCCTGAACAAATTTTCCTTTTAATTATTTATTTTCAATTTATGTACAAAAAAAACTGCTCATATGTTATTAAAAGAGAAAATAATTCCTAAATATAAAAAATTAAATAAAATCTTATAGCGAAAAAAATCTAGCAACAAATGTAAAATGTGTAGTAATTAAAATGTAATGAAAATGTAACATTTCTATACATATAAATGTAACCGATTAAAAAAAAACTAAAAAAATATATAAATAATTAATTAATAACTACATGCAACAAAACTCCAGAACAAACAACAACAAACAAACAATAACAAATGAATATGTATGAAATCTAACGACACTGATTAAATGTAAAAAAGTTATAAACGTGATTAAGTGAGAAAAACAAAAATGAAAAAAAATAAACATAATCATACTGTTAAAATAAGTTTAAATATAAATAATATTGCAAAAGAGTAAAAAAACAGAGAAAAAAATCATTAACAATAATATCTATAAAAATAAAAATAATTAAGTAATAAAAAAAATAACAATAAATATTGAAAATAAAATCAAATATTAAATAATTAATAAAAAAATAAAAAAAAAAACTAGAGATTTTTTGCAAAAATAACTTATTTAATTGGCATTTATTTCAGCAAGTAATTAAAATTAAAAAAAGGTAAGTTGAAATGATGACAAATAGTGCCGTTTAATACTTTACAACATTCAAACTTAGAGTATTTCAAACAATGTTAATTGCAATCATAAGGCAATTCTGGCAAAACAAATTTGTTTCCAATAAAAGTAGCTTAAGTTATAAACCAAAGACTGACACCTTTACTACTCAAATCGCACTATTACTTTCCAAGTTATAACCATTCAAAAACTATTTGCTACTATATATAAAAAATTCAAACATTTTGGCAACTCTGGTAATACAAATTTTCACAATACAAATAGCTTAAGTTATAACCTAACGTTTGTCACTACAATCATTCAAAAAGCTTAATTACTTTTGACTTTACAACAAATACAAAAAATATGATAAAATTTTAGCACTATGGCAATACCGGTAAAATAATTTTTACTTAAACTAAAAGCCTAAGCTCTAAGCTAACGTTTGACGCCACAATCACAGAAATCACTTAAGTACTTTAGAAATTATTGCTCTAACATTTAGAGCTATAATTTGTAACATTTTAAACAATTTAAACAGTCTGGTAACACTGGTAAACTAATTTTTAGAACTAGCCAATAGTTTAAATTATAGCGTAACGTTTGGCACCACAATCATTGAAATCACTTAAGTACTTGCTTTATTATAGCAATATTAAGAAGTATAGTAACAATATATAAAATTTCATCAGTCTGGCAACACTGGCAAACTAATTTTTACAACTAGCCAATAGTAAAAATTCTAACCTATCGTTTAACACCAAAATCAAGGAAATTGCTTAAGTATTTTCAAAGTTATAGCCATTTTAAAAATCCCTAAATTAAGCCAATTTTACAAAACCTGGCAGTCCTGTTACTACATAGTAACAGCGCCATCTATTGATGGGGTACATTGTTTTTGTGCAACATGAAAAATTGTGTACTAGCAGAGACATTTTTAAAAACACTATAACTCGTAAAGTACTCAACCGAATTCGTTGAGATTTATATTGCTGGATAGGTAATAAATTGCAGATTTTGAAAATTTAGTTTGCCAGAGTTGCCAGATGGTAAAATTAAGCTATAAAGTGCAATAAAAGAAAGAAATTAGTATAACTTTAAATGTACTGAACGGATTTTAATAATTTTTTTATTACATTGAAGGGAAAATATTGAAGATATTAGAAATTTACCTTGCCAGTGTTGCCAGATTGTTGTTTTCGTTATAAGTCCTTTTAAAGAAAATATAATATAACTCGAGATGTACTTAACCGATTTCATTTATTTTGATATTAGATTGTTGGGAATATATTGTAGATGTGGAAAATAGTTTTGTCAGAGTTGCTAGATGGTCGATTTTGCTATAGTTTGTATTAAACTATATAAATTAGTATAAATTAAAATATACTGAACCGATTTTCCTTATGTTTGTTTTACATTGTAGGCAATATATTGAAGATGCTGAAAATTTATTTTACCAGAGTTGCCAGATTGATTTTTACACTATAATATATGTATGTACATATATTAAATGAGAAAAGGCTATTTGAGATCCAGTTTATTATTACAAAACAGAAATTTTGAGAACAATGTACTTAGTGGTCAAAAAATACAACATTTTTGTAAAAATTTAGTTTAGAAAAACATCAACTGCTTTCCTTCTGAACTTTTTATTAAATTTTTTACAAGTTATTTTCCTAACAACAATAAACTATTTATTTAAAAAAAGTCCCTTGAAATTTGCTTTAAACACCCTAAAACAATTTACAAATCAACCTAAATATCATGACAAATTTTTTCCATTTTTTTTTTTCTTGATTTAGATATTTTACTAGATGTTTAAATAAAGATAAAACAATTTAGTGTTTGGATACAAAAGAAAAAAACTTAAACAACAAAACAAAATTCCGATTAGTCAAAGAAAATACTTGAGTACAAATAAAAAACGTCCCTTCCGTTTAGAACAGACAACTGGCAAAAAATATAAACAAAAATACGTGCTTAAAACATTAAAAAAAGAAACGGCCTGTTTTTAAAGATGAGTAAATTTAACGATAAATTTCCATTTAAAATGACTAAAATATCAATTTTTTTGGTTTAGTTTTTTATACACAAAGGCTCAACAGCAAACGTTATTTTATAACCGGAAGTATCAAAAGCAATAAAATTGTTTGGCGTTAGACCCAATTTAGCAAACACACATACTTATTATATGTGTTAGTCCTTGTATGAGTTTGTTATGCATGTATTTAAGTTAAATTTGAAATCCCTTAAGGATTTGTTAAGACATGCAGCCACCTTGTGATATCCTGTCTTATGTTAGACTACTACCTTCTTTATTTTTGGGGCTTGATTTCTACAGTTTTCGTTTCATTACTTTTTTGTTTATTTTTTATTGTTGTTGTTTATATTCAAATTGAATTTATTTTTCTAAACATGCTTAAACATGCTTATAGGCTACTAAAGATGTCATCAATAGCTTCATTATAAAAGAAAAAAGAGAAAGAAAAAAGCAAATATTGGCTAAAACATAAATAAGGCATTATTTATGAGCCTAAAAGCCATAAACAATTTTTTGTTTTATTTTATGTCGTTAAAAAAGCAGAAAAGTTAAAGTTAAAAGTATTCTCGTTTTTACATAAATCTTTAAAGTCCTTTAAGCATGTACATATTAACTTATGTTATAAATCAATAAAAAAATTCATTTTTATTATTCTTATTATTAATATTAAATATTTGCCATTATTTAAATATCTTTGTCATCAGCATAAAAAATCATGTCAATTCATGTCATTTTATGTTTTTTTTTCATTGTTTAATTTTTAGATTTTATGGTTGTTTAAACAAATTGTCTTTTGTCTCCTACAAAAATCAAATAAAATGACCATAAATTTGATTTATGCTAAGGAATAATAGAATCTGTTTGAGGAACAAAAAAATAAAGACGATATTTAGTGTAAAAACTGAAATCTGGCAATACTGGAACTATAATTTTTAAAAATCTACAACTCAACCTCTTTTAAACAAAGCAAACTTGATTGATATCGCTTTAGTACTTTTGAGGTTTAACTATCTTGTTAAATCAACAATCTGGCAACTCTTCATACATAATTTTTTAAAAACGACAACCATACATGTTGAAAACAATGCAAACATAGTCCAACTCGGCTTAATACAGTAAGAATTTCGCAAATTTTCCGTTTTATTGATTTTACAGCGCAAAAACTATCTGGCAACACTGGTATACAAAGTTTTCAAAATCTGCAACAAATCATCTTTAAATGAGTAAAAAACTAATCAAAATCGGTTCACTACATTTAAAGTTATACAAACTTTTGCAATTAAGCCACTGTAGGTAAAATTAACAATCTGGCAACACTGCCAAATAATTTTCCGAAATCTACAAAACATCCCCTTTAAAACGAGTTCAATCTAGCCGAAATCGGTCAAGTACTTTTAGATCTTTACTCGTTTTTATCATTCAAACCACACTATAGATAAAATAACAATCTGGCAACACTGCCAAAAGAATTTTTACAAAACAACAATTCACCCTCTCTCTACCGGTACCCATTTAATGGAAATCGGTTCAGTATATTAAAAGTTATAGCAATTTAAAATTTGTCTCTGCAATTCCATCATTTTCCAGTTGCTGAAAAGCAATCTACCCAAACAATAGATGGCGCTGTTACAATGTAGTAACAGGGTTGCCAAGCTTAGCAAAATTTTGTGAATTTAGGGATTACTTTAAACTGCTATAACTTCAAAACTACTTGATGTGATGTCAAATGATAGGTTAGAATTTCGACTATAAGCTTATGGGAAAAATTATTTGGCCAGTGTTGCCAGATTTTTGTAATTTGTCATAATATAAGAACAATTGTTTAAATTATTATAACTTTAAAAGTTTTCAAGAGTTTTGAATAATAAGGGTGTCAGGCGTTAGGTTGTAAATTAAACTAAGTGCTTTATGAAAATTTATTTTACCAGTGTTGCCAGAGAGGTGGTTTTTAAAGGTTATTAGGTTCTGTTTGAGTTAAATGTTGATAACTTCGAAAGTAGTGAAGTGATTTCAAAAAATATGGTGTCAGGTGTTAGGTTAGAGTTTATACTTTTAGTTTTGAGAAAAATTATTTAGCCAATATTGCCAGATTTTTAAAATTTTTCGTAATATAACAACAATTGTTTTAATTGTTATAACTTTAAAAGTTTTCAAACGTTTGGAATAATAAGGGTGTCAAGCGTTAGGTTGTGAATTATGCTAAGTATTTTATGAAAAATTAATTTACCAGTGTTGCCAGAGAGAGTGGTTTTTACTTGTTAAGTTCTGTTTGAGTTAAATGTTTATAACTTGGAAAGTAGTGAAGTGATTTCAATAAATATGGAGTGAGATGTTAGGTTATAGTTTATGCTATTATTTCTTGAAAAAATTATTTCACCAGAGTTGCCAAGTTGTCGAATTTTGTTAAGATTTTAATAATTTTCTTTAAGTAGTAATAACTTGTAAAGTATTTAAGCGATTTTAATTATAATGATGTTAGTCGTTAGGTTATTTATTAAACTAAATGTTTTAATAAAATTTGTTTTACCAGTGTTGCCACCGCCCTTTTTTTTAATTAAGTAAAGTATAGTTGTTAAAAGTGTTCATATTACATTTAATTAATTGCTTTTCAAATGTTTTCTTTAAAAGATCTTAAGTTGGTTTAAAAAGTAATTGAAAAAAGTTAATTAAAGTTTGTTTAAAGAGTAAATAAGTAATTAAAAACTTTATTAAACAAAAAATGTTATTGTTTATTAAAATTTTTCACAAATATTTTTTAAACAATT